CTGAATCGCTTTGGGGAAGGGCAAGTTAGAAATTACCCCTCTTCCCACACCTTATCGGTTTTGGAGGATTTAGTGCCCCAAAAGAGCCTACGAGCTCTTCTGAACGTGGTCTGTATGGGGTTGGCAGCTCCTGAGCTCAAATTGCTCTTCCCCCATTGTACCACAGCAGCTCTGTGCCCCTCTGAGCTGTGATCCTGGCTCTTCTGTGGATGGGATGAGCGGTGTCGTACTTGCGATGGCTGAAACCCCACGAGCACTGCTGCAGAGGGAGCCCCGATAACCGCGCCGAGTCGCGCAGCGCTCTCGTCTCATGCCTACGTCTCCCCCGTTGCCAGGGCTCCTGCAGAAATAGCTGCCGTGCTGTGCTATAATGTGTCTGGAAATAGCCCTGGAGGAAGCAGAACGGCTGGGCCAAACAAACAGAGCGGATCTCAGCCGTCGCACCCGCAGCGGGGTCTCTGCCTGGTGCCCAGGGCGGCGGGGTGGGATGCAACCATCCCTGCGGAGGCTGCAGACCCCGACCCAAAGGCGCGAGGAGGCGTAGGGGTGGCGAGGGTTTTAGTGTCTGGGTCTGCTTCCTGCAGGACGTGTTGGGGATGGGAAGCTCGCAGCCAAGCGAGGTGCAGTAAATCCCCAGCCCGCAGTGCAGGCTGTGGGGGGGCAGCATTGGCGTTCACCCTCTGCAGCGCGCTCCTTGCTCGTGCAAACACACGGCCGCGCCTGGAGTCTTTAAATCCATCGTGTCCTTGGTGGTCGTGCTTGTCAGAGCCAGATAATTCAGTTTGAGCTCCCTGTATGGAAAGGGCAGTCCAGGAGTGGACTTAGGGCTCACTTAGGAGCAGTGGAGGTGGTCCTGGGGTGAGGGCTGGACCGGTGGTGTCCCCTGGCTCCCCGTGCTTTGTTTGCAGGCGCTTGGGCCTGTTCTTTCCCCTTGTTAAAATAAATGAGTGAACACAGGGTTATTTTTTGGAGCTCGTGGGCTGGCCTAAATGCATCAGGGATGAAATTCTTCACCCAGCAGAAGGTCCCCACCACGAGCCATTGCTTGGGGTGGTGGGGGGACGTGGGGCGCTGGGATGCGGGGGTCTCCTGCTCGCTTGGTGACCGTCCTTGCCTTCTCCTGCTGTTGTATGGACCCAAGGCCGGGTGAGCTGCGTGGCTGAAAGCCAGAGGAAGAGTTTGGCATGCAGCTTTCACACTAAAACCACTGAAAACGTGTGGGGATCATTGGAGGTATCCTCTGCTTGTGTGCTGGTCCTGGTTGGGACCTGCAGGGCCATCCCTGGAGAGCTCGGGCTGGGATCAACCCCACGCTGCTGGGGCTCGGCTGGGAACCAGGTTGTCCTCTTTCTCCTCCTATCTCCGGGGAAATTCATCTTTCTCACCGTTGTTTTCCATCCCGCAGCTTCTTTACGGCATCCCCTTTATCTCCGCAGGCCCGGCGTGATCACCATGCAGGCGCTTTCGGAAGAGGACCGGAGGCTGTGGATGGAGGCGATGGATGGCCGGGAGCCGGTGAGCGGAATTATTAGCCCAAAAAAGCGTCGGGAGAAAATCGTGGCGAGCTTTTCTTAGCCCGGGGCAGGCCGTTTGCAGCGGAGCGGGCTGTCGCGCAGCGCCTGCCAGCCGGCGCGAGAGCTGTATCCGTGGGGCAGCTCGCGCCCTCTGCCAAGAGAATAATTTAATCCCTTGGTTAAATATTTGAGGTAATACTGTATCTCCCGTGCTCGGCTTGCTCGGAGGTGTGGTGGAAAGGAGGAGGGCAGGCTCGGCCAGCACAAACACGTCGCCGCGCTGCGCTGCAAGGAAAACACGGCGAGAAAAAAAAGAGCAGTAGAAGAAAAGGCGCTGTAGGTTTCCAGGGCTTTTTGGAGTCCCACAACTCCGCTGGCAGCCGTTTCTGGGTCGTGTAGAGAATCGCAGATTTCGTGTGAGCGGAGGCGTGGAGCCCCTGTTCCCCGCGCTCAGCGATAGCCTCCTCGCTGCTGCGTTGGCTGCTGCCGTGCCAAAGCTGCGCAGGCTCCCTCACCTCGGGGAGGGCTTGTGGAGGCTTCCAGAAAACTCAGGGTTGTTGGGTTTTTCGTATTTTTTTTCAATGCGTATGCAAACTTCAGTGCCAAATTTGAAGAGCTTGAGCTGGCTCTGGGTGGGTTTCCTCGGAGGGGTGCTGCTGGGGGTGCCGTGCGTTGGTGGCGCGGTCCTGCCCGGTTTTGACGTGGCGGGCGTCCAGCGATGAGCGGCAAACACAGCACCACCGAGCAGCATCTGTATGCAGAATGAGACGCAACTGCGGGCCTCTGCGCCTCGGCTCGGCCAAAAGCGTAGCAGGATCTGAGGAGAAACGCTGTTAGGGACAGCCCGTACGTGTTTGGAGAGGATTTCTGTGCTCAGAGCTGGAGTCCAGCTCTGGCGGCCGGAGGGGAGTCATGGGGGGGACCAGGGTGCCCCCTCCCAGCACTGATGGTGCAGATTTGAGCAGTTCCCCCCCCAATCCACACAAAGGTCCTTGCTTGGCAGCAAATGTTCATTGAAGCCAGGTGAGATGTGGACACACGCAGGCTGTTCAGTGGATGCTGGGAAGCACCCGCTGGGCTCGGGCAAGCAACTGGTTTTGAAGCGTGCAGCGATTCGGAGGTGGGGAGGGCTTGGCGTGAGGGTGCTGGTGGGGCTGTCTGGGATGCATTTCCCCGTGGGTTGCAGCCGGGTCTCAGCCTGGAGTCATCGATCCCTTGGGTTGGTTATTCAGGTGGTACCGTGGGAGGTTTCCAGTCCAACCTCCTGCTCACAGCAAATTGCTCAGGGCGTTATCCAGGGGGGTGCTGAGAACACCTGAGGAAGGCAACTGCTCGGCCTCCCTGGGCTTCACCGTCGTCTTGGAGGAGGATTTCTCCCGGTAGCTCATCCAAACCTCTCCAGTTTCAGCTGACACCCGCTGTCTCTTGTCCCCGCTCCCTAACGGGGCATGTGCTGTAGCTTGGGCCTACCCCTGGTGGTGACCACAGCTTTCTGCCACCTTGGTTTCCTCTCTGCAGCAAAATTGTGCTTCTGGGACAAAACTGCTCAGTTACAGCTGCAGACGCGCAGTTTCTGAGCGCAGGCGTTGAGGGAGGTGCAGCCATGGAGGTGGAAAAGGCCGTGTGTTGTGTGCAGGACAGCCTCTGCTCCCTTCTGCTGCCGTGTGCTGGAAAGGGCCCATATTTGGCAGAGCCAGCCTGCTCTGGACACGGGTGGCCCTGCCCTGGGGCAGCTTTAGTGGGGTGACACTGGATGTAGGGCGTACCAACCTGCAAGCTGTCCTGTTCCCTTCCAGATTAACCCCCACCTTGGTTCTGTTTCTTCAGGAACAAAATGCTCATTCTTGCTCCTAGTCCAAATCAAGCCTTGTCCTCCCTCGGCCTCCTCACCTCTTCCCACTGCCTGGCTCCAGTGGGAACTGGTGCTGCGGGGCTGCGACACCCAGTCACTGCAACGGGAGCTGCATGGGTCTGTCACCCCACGGCGTTTGGACCCCCTGATGTTACCGAGGTTTGGCACCACGGCAGAGCCAGGCTGTTGGGATCGGGTCGCAGAAGTGCACCCAGAGATTGTGGCTGCTTGCAAAGTGCCATGCACATGAAAGGGGCTGTGAAGTAACTGGTGCAGGACGGCCTGGATTATCCTGTTTTGGGATCTGGTTATGTGAACCTCAAAATCACACAGGTCTTGGTGCTGCTGCTTTGCTGCCTTGCTGCCCTTCCCTGTCGTGCCCATCAGCTGAGGGCAGCCTGCTCATCCAGCACGTCCAGGGCTGTAGCTGCGCATTAATGTGATACCTCGTGGCTCTTTAATGCTAATGGTGCTTAAACCCGGCCGTCCAGGTGTGCTGCAGCAGCCCCGGGAACGAAGCCTGTGTGGAAATGGGTCCAAGGGGCATTTTACCACTGAAGATGGGGCGTGTTGACAGGCGAGGTGGCTCCTTGTCCTCAGTTGTGCTTGATCCATCAGAAGTGGAGTTGTTGGTCTGTTCTCTTTGGGTTCCTATCTTACACCACCGGGGTGTGGGATGTTACCTGCACCACAGAGATTTCCTTGAGCAAGAGACAAGGATTTAACCTTTGGAGCCCTAGGAATACCCATCCTGTGCTTTATTTCTGTAACCAGAAAACCCTACTGGAAAGAATGTCTGGTTTTGCTTCGATTTGAATATTGAGTGTGGGGAAGGTTGGCACGGCGGGACCAGTAATTCCATGAGCAAATTCGGGCTGTGGAGGGATTGAAGTGGACTGGAGCTTGTTTCTTAATGGTAATTAAAAAACTTAAACCCAAATGTTGTACTACATTTTGGTAAGAGCTAAACATAGCACGTGGGCTGCGTTAGCCAAGACGTTTGTCACAACTTGAAAAGAGTTGTTACATATCTTCCAGTCAAAGCAGTCTCCAGATAGCTATCATCAGTCTGTTAACTCTTACCGCTTGTTGCTAATTTGGCTAAAACCCCCGTGTTGACTTTGGGTTTTCTTTTACGTCAGAGAGACTGGAAATAGGAGAAAACGCTGACCCCGGGACAGAGCAGTGGTGGTCATTTTTGTTAGGATGCTCAGGATAAGTTGGGCTGTCTGCTTTGTGGCGAAGAAGCGCACAAGATAAGCATTTCAGTGAAGTGATGGCTCCGCTTGCCAAATCAGCGAGTGTGCCAGCCAAGAGCAAGCTGTCAGTGTCAGCGGTGCCTGCTGTTACCTCCGAGCAGGTCGGGGCTCTTGGAAATCATCCTCGCATCAGGGAGGGCAGAAGTACTGGGTTTGACGTGTTTGGGACGTGCAAATGTTTCTCCAGGAAAGGGAGCCCTGCCATGTAAGTGTACGTACAGGGTTAAGGCTGTGGAACGTGTCAGATCACGTCCCTGTGGAGCTGCCTGAATCTGTTGTCTGTAACCCTGAGTGGTGATGGAGACGCCAGCGTTAAATGGTGAACCCACCGGCCTGCGATGCTGTCGGAGGAAACAAGACGTGGATGGGCTCTGAGCGGTGCTCCTCTGGCACTCGCATCGTGCTGCCCTTTGCTCCATTTGCTTTGGTTTTCTTTTTTTGCTCTTGAAAGCAGTACAAGTCTATAAAAACACAGCCAGCATTTCCTCTCGGGGTCGGTTTTGTTGTTGCGTGCATCACGGGCGGGGGCCGAGCGCTCGGTCTCAGCCTCTTGCAGGGCAGGGAGGACTCAGAAATGGGGGCACAGCGGCAATGCCCGCTCCTTTCCTTCTCTGCACCCCTCACCCTCTCTTCAGGCGTTTAACATAATCTGCAGGTTTGCAAAGGCAGTGACAAAGTCCAAAGTCCCTTGCGTGCTTCGGGAGGCTCGAGGCCGGGCACTGAGAGGAAAGGCAGCACTGCACAGGCTGGCAGGTTTTGTCCTGGGACTTCCCGGGTCAGATCTGTGGTGCGGGAAGTGCCCTGTTCCCCTTGGCACTGGTGTGACTTAGTCCTTGGGTGATGAAGCTCTGTCCTGCGGTTTCTGCTCCCATTCTGCAAGGCTGTTTCAGGACCTCACTGCCCTGATGTCCAAAAAACCTCCCCAGGGTTTCCCACCCAGCCAGGTTTAGTGGTGTGCCGCTGATATCTGCTTCTCCATGGGAGGACACTGGGGGCCATGGGGAACAGTCAAGTGATGGCTGCGGTGTCTGGGTTTTGTGGCTGGTGCTGAGACACCTTGTCCATGTTCCCAACCAGGGGCTGGGCCTGCCTGGAAGTGCAGTGGTGTTTGTCAGTGCTGGGAACTCGCGAAAGTCAGAAGCAGTTACAGCTGAATTAATGGGTGCCCAGAGGGCAAGATCCACAAAGTCTCTGAAATGATGTTTGAGATATTACAGCGACACTTAAGCTCTCTTAGGCCTTCCCTAGGTGCCTGAGGTCTGCAGGCACCAGCAGCCCTAGCTGAAAGCCTGATTTTGCCCAATTTTGCAGGATGCTGAGTGCTCTTGCATCCAGCAGAGCTCAGGGCGATCACACAGATGATGGTGGGTGTGAAGGACTCGATTCCCTTTCTGCAGCCTCCTCCGGGCTCCCGACCGTGACTCAGCTCAGCAGAGCCCAGCTCCTCCTCGGCTCTGTGGCTGCCAGGGCCACCCTGACCCACGCTGGGGCTGTGACGGCCGCCCTGGCCCTGGGTGCCCGGGCAATGGTGTCACCTTGGCACTGCGTGGGCACGGAGGTCGGGCTCGTCATGTTCGTCCCCCAGCGCCGTGGGCCTGCGAGCAGCACAAAATGGAGCAGGGCGGCGTGGGGGGAGGCCATATGGCCGCTCTCCACTAGATGGCAAGCTGAGACCAGCCCACTCATTGCACTTGTGCCTCAGCATGGCCAGGGCAGCCTCCTCTGTGTCCCCAGGGGCTCTGTGAGGTGTCTGGGGCTGCCCTCGACCGCCCACCCTGGGAGGCTCTGGGTTTGGGGGAGTGAGGTGACCCCCGGAGCCGATCTGCCCGTGCCTGTGCTCAGCTGGGGCTGTTTGTGCTGTTTGGGGTGGGGAAAGTGCTTACTTCCCGG